TTTAACTAATTTTTCATAGACTGAAATCTTTATACCACACTGAAACAGTGTTTGAATTTATTTCACCCTTGTATTATGTTTTTTTACTACTAAGTATTTGTTATAACTATTTGTCATAACAATTACTTAGTAATATTAGAAAATAGAACTAAACAGAAGAAACGTTTTACAGTTTAATATGATACCTAACTTTTATGATTTATTAACAAACATCAATTTTACTATGCTCAATATATAAAACTCTTTTTTATCTTTAAATGTAACCACAGAAACTAAATAATTTTAAATATCCAAAATATATCACTTTAATTTTAATCCAAAAGTAGTTTCAAGAAGACCTTACACACTAAGAACCTAAAGAATTTTCTGACTTGTATGCTAAATCATCTAAGCTTATATACTAATAAAAGGCGGGAAAATAATCAAGAAAAGCACATAAAGCATGCGGCGGGAAAAATAGAAAGGAGTTTACAATGAAATAACACATTTTAAGGAGTTTTCTTATTACTTTAACAAAATCAGGAGCATACTCAAATGAAAAGTAGTTCAATTTAACTTTGCTATAAAAGATTATGAAATTACAAAATTATCAAACAAATCAAAACATGTATAACTTACAAAAAAATCGCAAAGTTTGCGACAGATATAGCTATTTTAGATTTGTCCACCCCTTTTACAAAGGAAAATGTACTTTGAAGAAAGGAACTAAAAAAAGAACAAAAGATGAAGTTTTGAAGAAAGTTTAATACAGATCCTCTTACAATGACACCGCTACGTGTTTAGTTGAATAAGCTATTCTATTATAATTTTTTGATAACATAGGAAGCTTACGATGTACTTTCAGGGGACGTAATAATTGAGATTAACATACAATAACGCAATAGCATCTTCCCGGCCCTTTCCGTCAAACTTCGGACACAATAGTAAGAATCGGTATTTCGGTCTAACCGGCCTATGCTTAGAAAACATGTGTACACAAATAGTAATTTAATGACAAAATCTATATCAATATACCGAGTACAATTCCACCTAAATTAAGTAAATTCACAGATAAAATAGTAAACTACGGTGCCACAGAGGTACGGTGGCATAGAGGTGACATGTGTGTGTGTGTGCGTGCGGGGCGCGCGCGCGTGCGTGTGTGTGTGTATGTTTATTTATTTCGTTCGCAGAGATACTTTATCTTGGGCACGAATTGATAACAATATTTATTATCTCGTGCGTTGACATAGTGACTCGTGCATACGGCAAAGTATCTCGTGTATCACATAATAATCTCGTGCGCACGAAATCGTATCTCGTTTGCACAACTTAATTATCTCGATTATGTTTTTGCTCCGCACCCCCGCCATTTTAGCTTAGCGGGGTCGCGGGGCGAAAATACGCTTATTAACGGAGGCGCGGGATGAAGTTTTATTACTCTTCGAACCGTGCCCCAGGAAATTCGCGACCCCCCCCCCTCGCCATTTTAACTTTTCGCTTGGCGGTGTCGCGAGGAGAAAACACGAATAACACAAATCAACCACCATACTAGCTGATGTCCTCTCTGTGCTACCGTAGTAAACAGTTTATTACTTTTAAACTTATTAATTGTTTATTATGGTAAGTACAAAATGTCTGCATGTTGACATTAATTTGGATTTGGTTAAAATTGAACATCAGTGAGCATTTTTGAATTGATTATGATTGTCAAACATATATTCAATCATAACCAAAGTAGACTTTATTTTCCTTTGGATGTCAAATATAAACATTCGCAATAGATTATCAAAGATAACAGCCTTCTGTTTTATGTATAATAGCCAACAAAAACGTAGGCGTGCAAAGGTCATTAAGCACGCGCAGTCGATCCGGGACTTTCCATTAAATTTGAGTTTCTGTTTTGCGTCGTTGGATAAAATGGCAGAAAAAATGCAGGTAACTTCATATTTTAGCATTTTTATGATTTAAAACTCAGGTTAGTTAATTGTTTAACATCGGTGTATAGTGCATAGTATTTTCATTATTACTTTTAATCAATAAATTAAGACTGATAATGTTCAGCAGTACCAGAATTTAATTGTAACATTATGACCTTTTACAATTTTAATTCATAATTGCTTATTTAATTTGCTGAACTATTTAAATAAGAAATGTAAATATTACGATGGTATTAACATATGATATATATTTGCGATTGTCAAGGAATGCATTGAAACACAAAATCATATATTTATTCTTCACAGGTCCGTGAGAAAACAGGTGTTTTAAAAGGAAAAGTGAATAAAAGAAAACTGAGGTATGCTTGTATTAAATAATTTGATGTACCATATTTATTAAATGTTTTAGGAAAATGTTAAATATAAGTATGAGAATAAGTCAGAAGGCAGGACTTATGTTATTTTATCTTAACCCCTACATGTGATTCTCTACAATGCAATCAGGTAAATATATTGTCTGGAGTTCCTTCATTTTACACTACGTTATCGTTTAAATGTAGCTAACAAACGTACCAAGTTGCATTATCATCGTTGTACGTAATTAAGTAGTGACAATCGGGGGTCTTAGTGTGCTGTTCGATGCTTCTCTTCGCTTAATAACATAATTTATTAAAGATAATAATCTGTAGTAGATAAGATAGATAGATACTTTATTGTATCACAATTTGGGAGTAGTTAAAAAGAGGTATACACACACTTGATGTAAACACAAAGATTAAAAATGGATTCTTAGAAAGTTTCCGAGTATTTTGGCTGGTCAGTTGTTAAATAAAGAAAGAATAAATTACCACAGGGCCTTCAACAGTAGAAAGAAAAGAAGATTTAATATTAAGGTAATTATATTTAACATATTGAATATATTATATTAAATCTTAAGCATTTATCAGCTGTAGAATGTAGACCATGTAGACTGAATAACTAGTATGAAAATGATCTTGGAGAAATAATCAACACTTTTCTGGTTAAAACTTGGTTATTCTATCTTAAAATATAATGCCTTTACATACATTATATTTAAATAGAACTGTTAGTGAATTATACAATGCGTTTGATATAATCTTTTTTGGCATCTTACAAATTTATGATGCTTAAATTAATATAATCATATAGAGTGTATTGCTTCAAATTTGTTCCTTACTAAATAAAAAGTTCTTCTGGTCCTATTCTTTTACAGATTGGAGTATGACAGAAATTTAGACTTTAAAGGAGAACCCCTTCTGCTACCCAAGCCATTGTACACTGCCTTGCCAGAGTCGACCTTCACCAATTGCAGTTAAAACATAAAATTCTTCTGCCAAAACTGTCAATGCCACATATTTCCAAATACCTAGAGGCGGCAGACAAGAACATCACTTCAGATATCAAGGCTTACAAAAGGGACAGTTGCAGCACAACAGTAATAGAATTAGAACCTGTAGCATAAGTAAGACTTGTTTTACACTGGTATAGTTTCAGCAACAATGTCACGTAATGTTACCTCAAACTTCGCACAGAAAATGGGGAAGTGTTTAATAGTCACTGTGAATGTCATTGTGAATGTCCTGTTGAAAATGGACCACATGGTACATGCATACAACTTGCTGCAGTGCTGATTATTCTCCTGGCAATAATCTCAACGTTCAAAGAACATGTACTAAAATTCTTCAGATATTCCACAAGATAAAGAAACAGTAATCTGGGACACTTTTAAATGCAGGAGATATGACAGGTAACGAAGAAACAAATTAATTTCAGGATCCAAGACCCCCTGCTCTCAGGAATTGCGCAAACTACAAAGATAATATGAGCAACACAGCTTTCAATTATTGTTCAAATACGTCAATAGACTTAGCCATCCGCTACATATGAAGCAACGCGGATATGCAGGAAGGGATCATGACTACCTCCTTTAGACCACTGCTAGAACAGTGATAAGACAATGCCTAACAGCCCGAAACAGATAGTCACAATAGAATGGAGGACCAGATCGCAGACTGACGACTATACGTGGCGGGACCAACGTCTCTGGAGAGTAACTGCATCCAGAATTGGGGAAATTTGCTAGTTGACAGCTAGGAACAAATTATGCAAATCTTTCATGACTTCTCCGAATCTTCATAGCAAACCTATAAAACATGGGAATCAGTATGACGAAACGGCGCGTTAGAAATTTGAAGCTGAAACGGGACTCACAGTGAAGCGTTGTGGACTGAACATCTGATCAGCTAAACTACGGTCATAGAATTAAATGTCCATACAGTGAGAGACACAGACTCAAAGTGCAGCGTTGTGAACTGAACATCTGCCATCTAAATCTGTATTTACCCTGCACACCTGATGGCGTCATCAGCGAAACTATTGTCATAGTAATTAAATGTCCATACAGTGGGGGACACATGTTCAGTAAACTGGAAAATTATTTCCTTCCTTGGAATATCACTCAAAGCGTAACATTATAGTTAACACTCTTCTATGAGAAGTATTAAAGGATCACTACTGATACAAGGACAGGAAAGCTCAGTTTAACTCACTTTATTACATGTATAAAGGCAAGATGTATCATGTATCAAGTATGTGCATTAAAATGTGACATAACCATGTTAATGTGTGTCTCTGATATTAAAAAAAATCATTACTTTATATCTGTATTTATTTTTATAGCATCCGCTAAGTATTTACGATTCAGGATATTCCATTTTAGTATGTCAGATCACTTAAACATTTTCTTTAATCAAGGTAGTTTGCCAACAATGCGTTTTCGAAAAAGTAAAATCCTGTTACTATACGTGACCCATACGTGACCCATGTATAATTCTAGCTGTTGGAAGTTCTGACTTCAGGATTTTAAATTGCTTTGCAAATCCTATAACCACATGTATCGGGTTTGATGCTATGTGCCTGTTTTGACAACAGCTTCAGATTCAATCTATGATTTGCCACAAAGCATTGTAGGGGTATTTCCTGCTACATTCTAACCATGATATCCCTATCTGCCATTATACTGTTCTCTGGTTGAAACAGTTTCTTCTTGCACAGAACTGAACGTTCAATAATTTGACGATCGCTTGTTGTACCACCATAAAATATGATAAACATTATCAACAAGGATAGGCGGCGTTCAATGAATAAGAATTACTAACAACTGTCACATTTCCTCCTGGGGATATCCATATCATAGTGTTAAGGAATTACAAGTTAGATCCCTGTGATCTGTTTTTCTTGACAAGGATTAAAATGCTTCAAAACAAACAATGAATTTGGACTTCTTTTTGATGAGAGTAAATCAGTGATTTCAGGAATGTCTGCTACATGCACTGTGGCTGAGCTTAAAGGATTCACACAATGATCGTCTTTGCACGTCTTTTTTCTGCCTTTCCAGGATTTTTTTCTTTTAAGTGTGAACGGTTATCAGAACTACGATTACACGATGCCCTCTCCAAAATATAGAAGACACAATTCCCTTCTTCAATCTTTTGCGTTCACCTGCAAAGTCAATGTAATAATTTCACTTTTAATAAGTTTACTTTGCAATATAAACCTGAGCTTATTTCAGCTGATTACATACTTTGCATTCTCCCATTGTAATTCAATGTAAACCTGCAGTATACAGAGATAGCTAGCATACAGTTGATTCCTCTAATTTGTCAGGACAGGAGTGCTGCCGAATTATCTAGAAACTCTCCCATTCAATAACGTTCTGATTGACATCGATTGCACAATAAATGCGATCATTACTTTGGTATTGATTTGACCAATTAGAGACACATTTTGGGCGAATTACTGTGGGCGGGAAATCACTGTAGGACAGACAGTAAACGGGAAACAAAATGGTGGCGACGGCTAACGAAAATGACTTACATCCGTTTTCAGTCGCCGCCATTACAACCAAACTACAACAGTGTGTATCTTTAACAGCTTGTCAACCAGAATAAACAAAGCGCGTTAATTTGCATTTACCGTCATTGAATTCATATCCCCATCTGAATGCATATTTGTTTTCTACATTTAATTAGGGTTCAAGAGATTTTACATTTGGCTAAAAAATAACGATATCGTCCGCTAGCGTTATATTACCACTTATCATTGTTTCAACAACCGTTCAATGACTTAACTGAAATGACTTATGAAGTTCATCTATAAAAAAGTAAATACAGCTTTGTTGACAATATTGACGAGTACTTTTTTGTACTAAAAAGCTTTTATATTGAATTCCATTTACTAAGACGTGTCTGGTTAAGCCAGTGTTACTATTAACAAGCATTCTTAAAATCTTCCACGAATTCTAAAAGTTTTCAATTTTATGAAAAGCCCATTATGTCTAATGTAATCAAAGGCACCAGCTATGTCAAGAAACATAGAAAAGGTATTCGAGTTTGATTTACACTAACTAACAATTGTTTCTAATGACTGAATAAAATCGTTAAGGGACCTATATAGTAAGTAGTTTTATGCTCCCGCCATATAATGGCAAGGGCATATAGTGTTACCCTGTTCCGTCATTCCGTCATTCCGTAATTCCCCGTCCTTCCGTCATCATCAGTTTCCGTTCATTATCTTAATAACCGTTGCACATATTGAACTCAAATTTGACATATGGAATTGTCATGAGAAAATACAGGTCAAGTTCGAAATTGGTCATAGTTCGATGATTTTTGGCAGAGTTATGCCCCTTTTACTTTGAAAATAATATGAAATTTTCAGTTTCCGTTCATTATCTCCCCAACAGTACAACACATTCAACTCAAACTTGACATATGCATATAACGTTCATTACATTGTTGAAATGTGATGAATACTCTATATTCACTATCTGTACGAAATAAAATTGCCAAGTACTAGTACGTATTTGAATTAATTGTCGCCTCTAATACGCAGTTTTATATGCATGTTTGAAAAAAAACAGGTAGTATTTTCGGCGGGCGGGCGTCGTATTATTGTCCGGAGCCTATTTCCTACACACATGGAGGGATGTAATGAAATTTCATAAAAATGTTTACCACTATCAGAAACCGTATTGCGTACATGACGCAGGACTGGTGTCTAGGTCAAACTTCAAGCTAACACTTCGAGATCATTACAAAATGCTTGTCTGGAGCAAAACTTCTACATGCATAGAGGGATTTCGATATAATTTTGCACAAATGATCACCATTGCAAAGCGGAATGTCGCGCGCAAAATTCGATCCCTGCGACCACGGTCAAGGCCATACATACAGGAAAACTATGAAAATGTGAAAGGGAACCATTTAGTCATTTTTATGGGTTGTATCGCAAATGGTCATTATCAACTTACTTGCGACACTGCTTATCGCCCACTTAT